TTAGTTTATGATTTCTCGTGTTCTTCATTTTGATGCTATGTTTGTAATGACCTGAGCATTTTCTTTTAGGGAAATGAAACCTTGTATATATTGATTTTGATTTCCAGATCTGTGATCTATTTGTCGTTCTTTGATTCTGTTTATGTTTTCCTGTATTAAATGCTTTCGATTGTTTGGCCAACAGTTGAATTGATTGTAAATGGGGATGAACTCGAGAGAGGATTTCTCGTTTGATTTTAGGAAAACATAGCTCGGGTTGTGGAAACGGAGACGTGATGCACCTCGGGTAGCCCTTAAGGACTTGACCTAAATGCTCTCTTAATATCAGGTTCTGAACGGAGACGTCGGACCTGTGGGTAGACTCTAACTACACTGGAGACGGGGGTTAGGGTACTTTAGTGTCTGGGTTAGCGAACATAGAATTGACATTAGATTCGGATTTGTAGATCTTTATCGATAGTACACTGGTGGATTTTACCCTAGAAGCCATCACACATCGGAATTCCTCGATTATACTGGCGGACCGTTGTTTTTATTATTTTTGTTTCCTTTTTGCTTCATTTCATCCCCCATTATTTCCTTCGTCTAGATAGAGTTTAGGATAGTATAATTACGGTACTTGGTAGATTTAGGAACTTAATTCCCTGTGGATCGATATCTGGAATTCACTATTCTACAAAACGCGATACTGTACACTTGCGGTTATTTATACGTAGGTTTTACGCGTATCAAGCTTACCGCACCTTTTCATTCAATCGGACGTGGCACAAGGAGTGTGGAGATACTACGCCTCTTTATGGCACATGCCCTATTTTTATGGTTCTATGAAGCACCTCATCAAAGCCTGGACTTCCGACTTTAGTATGAAATCTCAACAAGGTGTAATAGCTCTTGGTATATTGATGATAGGGTGTTGGGAGATATGGAAATCGAGATGTAGAGCTGTGTTCGAGGATACCCCCATGAACACTACTGGGATCTTGCGTATCATTGCTCCCCAGCTTGACGCTCTTAATGAAATTATGATGGTGAAGAATACAACGGATACTAGCGGCAAGCTGGCCCTGCAACTGCTCAACCTGCGGATCAAGGACCCAACGCTGCATAAAGGCTGTTGGATCAAATGGCACCCTCCTAACTCGCCTGCCTTTAAGCTTAATGTAGATGGTTCGAAGATGGGAGATGTGAGTACAGGGGGAGGTGCTATCAGAAATCATGAAGGTCGTTTTATCTATGGTTTCTCCAACTATTATGGACACGGGAACCTTCTCCTAGCCGAAGCAACCGCCATCCTCGAGGGACTTCTTCTCTGCCACGACTTGGAGCTCAATCATGTGGTTATTGAGTCTGACTCCAAAACAGTGATCGACATGATCACAGGTCAAACGAGTGTTGCATGGGAATTATATTACGTGGTTGCTCGTATTAGAGATACCATCAAGGATAATTGGCGTATAGAACACACTTTTCGAGAAGGCAATCAGGTGGCTGATCGTCTAGCCAAGTCGGCGCACGAGCACAAATCTAGAATAGATTATTACAATTATACGGATCTTCCTAGTAGGGTTAGACATTGTATTTTATCGGATAGACTAGGTTTTTGTACTTATCGTAATCATTGGAAATAGGGGGTACTCTTTTCCTTGTTCTAGGCCGACAAGGTTTTTAACGAGGCCCCCCTGTGCCTTATCGGAATAAAAGTACATTTTTTGGCCAAAAACAAAAAAAAAAAAAAAAAAAAAAAAAAATATATGTTGAAAAAAAAAATAGTAATATAAAAAATGAACACGAGTACAGATGACTATAATTAAATATAATCATATTCGACTCTAGTCATATTCTACTATAGTCATATTCGACATAGTATACTTATTGTAGAAAAATATTTAAAAAAAATTAAAAAAAAAAAGAAATTTATTAAAAAAAGCTAAAATCAGAAAAAGACAAATTAAAATTATATTTGCCGTGGTACACTTATAAAAAAAAATCAGAAAAAAATTAAATACTTTTTATCAAAAAATTAAATATTTTATAAAAAAAATATTTAAAATAAATTTTAAAAAAATAAAAATAAATAAATAAATAAGGGATAATTTGACAAAACTGCCTCACTAACCATGTGTAATTACAATAAATCTATATGTTAGGCGTAGCTGGTGTATTCGGCGGCTCCCTATTCAGTGCTATGCATGGTTCCTTGGTAACTTCTAGTTTGATCAGGGAAACCACAGAAAATGAATCTGCTAATGAAGGTTACAGATTTGGTCAAGAGGAAGAAACTTATAATATTGTAGCCGCTCATGGTTATTTTGGCCGATTGATCTTCCAATATGCTAGTTTCAACAATTCTCGTTCGTTACATTTCTTCCTAGCTGCTTGGCCTGTAGTGGGTATCTGGTTCACTGCTTTAGGTATCAGCACTATGGCTTTTAACCTAAATGGTTTTAATTTCAACCACGGGAAAATCAGATTTTTAAGGTAAATCCAAAATATTATTAATTAATAAAAAATAATTGAGTTTCACTATTAACCTTATATCAATCCTTATTTTATAAATTTAATTTATTTTCCATTTTTGATATAATGTAATATTAAATTATAACCACCCACTCTGCCATCTCCTCTACCAACACGGTCTCCCCTTCCATGTCTGTCGCCTCATCCTCTATCCCAGCCCCCGTTCGCCCCTCTATGACGCGGATGAAGAAGAAGAAATTAAAAGAATGGCTTCTAGGAGTTTCTCATGGCTTTTTGACACTGCAAAGTTTTTCGATAAAACCTTGATTTTGACAGTTGCCAATTCCAAGGGTTTCGACACACCAATTCGTTGCAGAGAAAGCTCGAAGAGGTGATTTCTTGTCGCTCTTTTTCGTTATATTTGTGAATTATCGTGCAACCTGTCTTTATATACCCGTTTATGTATTTTTAGATGTAGTTATTTGTAAATCTGATTTTTTTTTTCTCACTGGTTAGGGTTTCAGATAGATTGCATTGGAATTCCAGAGATCTTTTGTTTTCGGTACGCGTTCAGGTGTATGCTTGTAGCTTTGAACAGATCTATGAATTAGGGTTGTGCTATGCATATTGTGATTTTCAGCTGGCAATTGCAGTTTCGGAGCTAGAATTCTGTGTACGGGGATTCTGTGTTGTTTATTTCGTTCATTTGCTATTTTTTTTCAAGTTTTGTTCTATCTGTTATATATTTATGAAACGTGAGAAGTATGTATATCACGCCGGCAATGTACGATACAGAGTATCATACTCAAATTTGGATTGAAGGTTTTCGAAGTTCAATTCTGGTATTTTCGTTGCTTTACGAAACATCAATTTTTTTTTTCATTTATTGGAAGTGTGGGGATGAATGTGAAACTCATCTAAAGATTTAGTCTTGGCATTTCTTATGTGAAAAAACATGAATTTGTCCTTCCTTTTGACATTTTGTGGAACTGTTTATCATGCATTTAATCCTTAGTTGCGAAGCTTGAGCTATCTAGATCCTTTCGTCGCTGAAGTTCATGCTATTTGTATTCAAGATTGCCTACATAGTTTGAAACATTAGATGATGAAGAATCTGATTTCTTTGCAGGAAGCTTTAAGGATCATGAGGCCTATATTTTGTGGGAATCTGGAGTTTGATGCTCGTCAATCTGAGATTGAACGCCTTTTCAGAAGATATGGAAAAGTGTTTTGGTTGGTTTTAGTCATCATCAATCTTAAGACTTTTGGTTGGTTTTATGATCCTTTATTAGTTTTCGATAAATTTTATAGTGAATTTTGACGAGTGTCTTGTGGATCTCATAGTGGTTTTCGATAGTGGATTTTGTTTGAATTTCACGTTAATTTCATAGTGTTTTCTGATAAATTCATAGTAGTTTTCGATGTTTATATAGTTGTGTATACATAGTGGTTTCATGTTTAATGTTTATATAGTTTTTATACAGAGTGGTTTTTATGTTTATATAATTGTTTATACTGAGTGGTTTTCATGTTTATATAGTTGTGTATATATAGTGGTTTTCATGTTAATATAATTTATTTATACAGAGTGATTTTCATAATGTCAGGCTTTGGTTTCTATAAATTTATAGTGGTTTTCAAAAAAATTATGGTTTCGATAAATTTATAGTTATTTTCAAAAAAATTATAGTGGATTTCGTCTAGTTCGTAGTGGGTTTCGATAAATTTATAGTGGTTTTCAACAAATTCATAGCGGATTTCGATAAATTTATAGTGGTTTTCAACAAATTCATAGCGGATTTCGATAAATTTATAGTGGTTTTCAACAAATTCATAGCGGATTTTGATAAGTTTATAGTGGGTTCCACTTTGATAAACGTGCTGGATTTTTTTAAGATTAAAAAAAATCCAAGAAAAAATAATTAAACAAAACATTTTTTTATTAAAAAAAACTGGGAAAAAATATTAAAAAACCATTTTTACAAAAAAAATCAGAAATGAAAATAAAAATAAAAATAAAACCATTTTTTAAAAAATAAAAAAATGAAGAACATAAAAAATACAAATAAGAAAAAATAATTTAAAATAAAGAAAAACGAAAATTAAAAAATAAAAGAAAATAAAAAAGAAAAGGAAAAATAGAAATTGAATTGGCGTGATATGGGGAAATATTAAGAAGATTTACATATTTAAAAAGAATAATTGATTTTCCATAATAATATAATATAATAACTTTCAATAATATTAAATAGGGGTATTTTAGATAATTTGAGTGAGTTGGATCTATCACAAATATCACTTAATAAAAATGAATTTATCATTAATTAAAATATCAACTAGGGGTGTTTGTCATATTGCCCCAATAAATAAATTGAAAATAATAAATGCAGACCAAATAGGTGGGGTTTATTGCTAATGAGTAATGATCCCCTCATTGTAAACATCTGGAGGACAATTTGGTCATTTAGGCCATTTCGTGAATAATTTCATAGCAAAATAATAATAATAAATTAATAGTAAATGTCTCAATCAATATCCGTGGCATTTTGCCCGAATACCCGCTGCTCTCTCTCTCCGCGTCTTCTTCTTCTCTCTCTCTCTAGATTTTGCTAGCTACTCCCTCCAATCGAATTATTCATACATAAACACAAAAAAACAAAAAGAAAAAGAAAATCTCCGTGCTTTCTCTCTCTAGGGTTTCTAGCTCTGATTTCCGTCGATCTACTTCAATTTACCCCCTTCAATGTCTTCGCTGTAAGCTATTGCATCTAATTCATCTTTTTTTCCTGTAATTGCACCTTTTCCTATTTTGCAACACTCTTTTTTTTAGCACATTTTTTTTAGTACTGATGCAAAAAGGTGTATTGAATTTCTAGGCAAAAGGAGGCAAGATGCTTCCTTTTCTTTTCTAAATTTATGTGCAGCATTTGTGTTTATTTTTTATCAGTTGACTTTAATTCACCCTCTATTGGTCCGTTGAATTTGATGCAGAAGACTTTGGTTTTATTGCAACTTCATGTAACGACATTGTCGATGTATTGTCCTGGAGTCAAGTTTTAATGAAGTATATATGTTTAGTTTGAATTGTTTGTTTCTATTTGCGTACATTCGGCTAAGGTTGAAGCATGGTTACTGCTTTGGGTTGTGAAAAAAAGTTGGGTTAACTTTTTTTTTTAGATCACTTGTTTCAAATTGTGGTTGGGAATTTAATCTAATTGAGGCTGCTCTGGTTTGGGGATCAGGGTTTGGAGATGACGACGATTGGAGATATGCTGGAACAGCAGAGAGTGCTAAAATGAGCCAGACGACAGATGTATACAAGATGAAGCAGAAACAACAACAGCCCATTCCGCTTGGGACTTTGATCGGTCGCGAATTAAGAAATGAGAAGGTGGAGAAACCCACTGTGAAATATGGGCAAGCTGCTCTCGCTAAGAAAGGAGAGGACTATTTTCTTGTGAAGCTCGACTGCCAAAGGGTTCTGGCCGATCCATCAACATCTTTTTCTGTTTTTGCCGTATGTCGAAACTCTCAATTATTTTTTAAATGGAATCCCCACTTTGTCGTATTTTTACTAATTATTATAGGTTTCTCTTGTATGCTAGATATTTGATGGGCACAATGGTATATCAGCTGCTATATTTACCAAAGAGAATTTACTGAACAACGTATTAAGTGCTATTCCGCAACAACTTGGTAGGGAAGAGTGGCTTCAAGCCCTTCCTAGGGCATTAGTAGCTGGGTTTGTCAAAACTGACATAGAATTTCAGCAGAGAGGCACGTCTAATTTTAGTTTTCAATTAATTTTCCACTAATTTTATACATATATATGCTTTGTGTTCTTGATATTGATTTAGGGTTTGACTAAAAATGACAGGTGAGACATCTGGAACGACAGTTACTTTTGTAGTGATTGATGGTTGGACGGTGACCGTTGCATCTGTTGGAGATTCTCGGTGCATATTGGACACACAAGGAGGTGTTGTTTCTCTTTTGACAGTTGACCATCGGCTTGAAGAAAATGTTGAGGAACGCGAGCGTGTAACTGCTAGCGGTGGTGAAGTAGGAAGACTAAATGTGTACGGGGGCACTGGGGTAATTTTGATAACTTGTGTCCTTTTTAATATTTTATATAATTAAAAAAATCGGCACTTGTTTCTAAAGTGGTTTATTTGGTGTAGGTTGGTCCATTACGATGCTGGCCAGGTGGATTGTGTCTTTCAAGGTCAATTGGTGATACAGACGTGGGCGAGTTCATTGTCCCGATTCCTCATGTTAAGCAAGTCAAGGTTTCTATGATTGTCATTCTTAAAGATGATTTAACTGTCTTAAAATAATAATAATAATAATAATAATAATAATAAATAATTTATTAAAGACATGTTTATCGATGTTAGCTTTCAAATGCTGGGGGAAGACTTATAATTGCGTCAGACGGTATATGGGATGCCTTGACTTCTGATATTGCTGCTCAGTCTTGCCGAGGTTTACCTGCGGAACTTGCCGCAAAATTGGTCGTTAAGGTATTATTATTTTACGTGATTGAAGAAGTGGATTTGTTGTGATATGGTAATTATAACATGTTTTAATTGCAGGAGGCTCTGAGGTCACGAGGTTTGAAGGATGATACAACCTGCTTGGTTGTTGATATTATTCCTTATGACCATCCTGTTTTGCCGCCACCGATGCCTAAAAAGAAGCAAAACTTGCTTACTTCACTTTTATTTGGGAAAAAATTCCACAACTCTAGCAAAGGAACTAATAAGCTATCAACTGTTGGAGTTGTGGAGGAATTGTTTGAGGAGGGTTCCGCTATGCTTGCTGACAGGTACTTTTTCACATTTTATCTCTTCTCTTACTTATATGATACATAAAAACTCGTACTTTTTCACATTTTATCTATTCTGGAAATTGTTCAATACATGATCCTCATAATGTGATGGAAGTGATGTTAGATTCATTAAACCAGTCGATGAGCCTTTTCCTTTTTCATTTTGATATTGATTTTCCCTCAATAACTATTGAATTGTTTTTGCAACATCGCATAATTTCTTTGGACATGTTAGACTTAAATCTAGCTGGAAGTTCTTTCAAAATCCAATTCCTCATATACAATATGGTAGTATTGCTTCCCTTCCTTTTTCATTCCGAGGATGTGAAATTTAGGCACAGGTATGACGGTGAATACCAGTAAGATACACTGTCAGTGATTTTCTTTTTTATTCAAGTATATGGTGAATTTTTCCATACCAATTTTAACGATTAAGTTTGGTTGGACATATAATTTTCGATGAGTGTTGAATAAGTGAAGGTCTTGAGGATGATACAAAATTCCCTTTGAGAGTCGATGGTGGCACATTATTCTTTTGGGTGAAAGGTATCAATGTGAAACAAAATGAAGCCTTGAAATAGATATTAATCATATAGAATCACTTGCTACTAAAGTCTTTTTCTTGTTTATGTTGCATCGCGTTGTGTTGCTTTTAGCTGTCTGTGTGCATCACAGGCTCAAATTTTAGTGTCAAGATCTCGCTAGTTTAGATAGTTATGTTTTGTAGCGTGTCACAATAATTAATGATTATTTCTTGGATACATGCAATGAATTATAATACCCCACTATTTACTGTAGAAAGTTAAATAAATCTTTTAACAGTAACTCATTGTGGTTTGGATAAAGAATTAATGTTATGAATTGAATGAAATCCAGGCTGGGTAAGGATTTTCCTCTGGATTCAAACTCTGGGCTGTTTAGATGTGCAATATGCCAGGTGGATCAGCCAGCTAGTGAGGGTTTATCTGTAAACTCAGGCCCGTTTTTCTCGCCTTCATCAAAGCCATGGGAAGGTCCTTTCCTCTGTGCTAGTTGTCGTAGGAAGAAAGACGCTATGGAAGGGAAAAAGCCTTTTGCAGTCACTGCATAAATTTCGTAACCTATAAAACATATATATATATATAAATATTGATACATATTTTTGTGCTTGTGTGAGTGAATGAGCTTGCTTTTCCATCTGCGGTGATCGATCCTTATATCAATCAATGTGTTGTGTGTGTGTAACAAGTGATTTAGTAGAAGAGATATTTTATTTAGGGAGCACTCCTTTTTTTGTTGTTGTGGTTCCTCAATGTGTGTTGGCTCGTTTTCCGACTGATGCTTTGACCCGAACAGACATGTGATTGTGATAATCTGACTACTAACAGCTTAAGAGTATGTAATTAAGGAAATGATGTTTGCAAATCAAGTGTTCTTCATTCAATTACTATTCAATCTGTCAGTCTATCTTCTTAACTTATTAATACATATGTTTTTTTTGTTCAGTATATTGTCAATCTCTTCTGCCGAAGCCATTCTTTAAGTCCTTGAACAAATAAATAAATACCAATTTTATTTTATTACAATGTTTAGGAACGTTATTTGTAGAATTTATTCAAGATAAATATTTTCATATCAAATTAAATATTTCAAATTTCGAAATGCTACATTCAAAAGTTTTTAGATTAATAATGATGTTAAAACTTATGATGAATGAAATGTATCTTTATATGTACTTGTTTGAAACAAGTATTTATGAATTTCAATAGACCCTAAAATCCTCAGAAAATAATATGTTTTTGAAACTATGCAAAAGAAAGTTATGCTAATTGGTAACAGTGAAAGTTATTATAGGACTAATGTCTAATTTCAATATTATAATAAGCTATATGTATCTAATAATATATTTTTGAAAATTTTGAAAAATATAAACAAATTTTTATCTTCATCTTATTTTTTAGTGTGATGTTAATTAGATGTTTCGAATAAGTTAGTGTACATTTGTTTTTATGTTAATGTTAGTCAAATGGCTTAGATGGACGAGCTTATGCTTCTCATTGTGTGGGATTCTAGTTGCATACTTACAAGCAGTGTAGTCAATATCGCGATATACCGCAATATATACTGGGATACGATATGATTTCTGATGATGCTAAAGATAGATCACCTTAGAGAGTTGAAGTAGGATGAGCTAGAAGAGCAGAGTGGATCATTGGCTCACGAGCTTGATGACCTTGAGATACCTGCGATCATAGAACACGTGAACTAGGCCGGGGGTTGATCCGGCGGAAACCCCTCCGACGCTCAAGTCAGACGTGCTGATCATAGAAAATAGTCCAAAGAATACATATTGTAGTATTGCTTAGTTAATAGGACGTACCTTAAGGAATGAGTTCAAACATTTATTTATAGCTTAGTTGAGATTGTCGGGCTCAAACCTTACTTGAAGGTGATTGGGCCTCGGTGATAGTGGTCTTCGATATTGGGCTCGTAGCCCAGCAGGTAAATAATTTGTAGGCCCATTGGGTTGATCCAATTAGGCATATCATTAAGCCCCCCACTCTCGAGTCGATGTGAGGGCCATGTTGAAATGGGTGACATATCGTGTCGAGAGTAAAACTTGTAGTTGTCGATGGTGTGCGAAAACGCGTTGGAGCGTGTGTCGGAGGGGTGTGAAGGCGCGTTGGCGCGTAGCGCGACCAAGTTGTCGCGATGTAAGTTACTTGAGTCGTCGGTGTTGTCCCACGACGATGTGGTAGTGCGGATCAAGTTATCTCCTCGTGGGAGTTGTCTCGTCGTGGGGTAATAGAGTTGATCGAGTTATCTCCTCGTGGGAGTTGTATCGCGATAATGTAGTGGCACGGAGCTAGTATTCTCCTCGTGGGAGTTGTAATTTATCGACATTGTCAATGTTTTGACGCGTTGCTTGTCTGTGTTTACATATAGCCTTGTGCGTGATGTACTTGAGGAGGGGATCAGACTCTCAAAATTTTGTTTTTTTTTTTTTTTTTTTTTTTTTTTTTTGTTATGGGGATCTTGCCCCTTGTTAGACCTCGTGGGTCGTAAGTATGTTTGGACCATGGCCACGTTTTAATGAAGGACCCATCGAAAACAATTAGATAAATTTTGAGTAATCAAGCTGACCAGGCTATATAGATTCCCATAATATCTCTAAGTGTTTCTAGGGTCGTAATCGTGCTAACTTGAGCTTGCGATTCTATAGTGAATTTCGGGCGAGTTGTCTTGCAGCGAAGTTATTGGAGCATTAGATGACGCGCGACTGAGGATCGTGCGGATTGAGGTTGCTCTGAGCGAGTTGTCTCCTCATGGGAGTTGTCTCGCAGCGAGTCTTATTATCGAGCGAGGTGGGTGCACTTGTGAGTTGCATTGCAACGGGTTCGTAGCGCCGAGCGAGTTGTCTCCTCGTGGGAGTTCTCTCGCCGCGGGTTCGTAGCACCGAGGGAGTTGACTCCTCGTGGGAAGGGGTTATAGGACCGAGCGAGTTGTCTCCTCGTGGGAGTTGTCTCGCTGCGGGTCGTCGGTCCGAGCGAGTTGTCTCCTCGTGGGAGTTGTCTCGCTGCGTGTTGCAGGATCGAGCGAGTTTGCTCCTCATGGGAGTTGTCTTGCAAGGGTTGTAGGACGGAGCGAGTTCTGTCCTCGTAGGAGTTATCTCGCTATGGTTTCGTAGACCTTAGGGAGTTGGCTCCTTGTGTAGGTAGTAGTACTAAGGGAGTTGGCTCCTCGTGGGAGTTTTCTCGCTACGGGTTGTAGTTCCGAGCGAGTTGACTCCTCGTGGGAGTTTTCTCGCTACGGGTTGTAGTTCCGAGCGAGTTGGCTCCTCGTGGGAGTTATCTCGCTGTGGTTTCCTAGACCCGAGGGAGTTGGCTCCTCGTGGGAGTTGTCTCGCAAGGGGTTATAGAACGGAGCGAGTGGTCTCCTCGTGGGAGTTGTCCCACTGTGGGTAGTAGTTCCGAGCGAGTTGGCTCCTCGTGGGAGTTGTCTCGCAAGCCCCCCACTCTCGAGACGATGTGGGAGCCAAGTCGAAAAGGGTACCGGGTCGTGTCGAGAGTAGATCGGTGATGTAGTCTTGCGTTAATCGTTGGCATGGCGTGGAGAAATAATATTTTTTATTTATCCATTTGATAGCGAACGCGATTTGGTAGGCGCGTTAAAGACTCGCGCAATTTGGTGGAGCGCGTTGAAATTCTCTTGCGATTTGGTGAAGTGCGTCAAAATCTACGCGCAATTTGGTAGAGAGTAGTAAAAATTGCACGCGATCTGATGGGAGTGCACGCTCCAAGGTGGCCTTGGGAAGGCGCGCGCATCTGCTGGCCCCCAGGCGCGTGTGAGCACGCGCTTCGCAATATTATTAATTTTTTTTTTCTTTTTAGATAGAGGCGCGCGCGTGGCTTGGAGGGGGCGCGCGGTCGGCTTGGCTGCATTTTTATTTTTGAATGGAGCCGCGCGCGCGGCTTGGCTCGCGCGTGGCTTGGCTCGCGCGCGGCTTGGCTGCTGCTTCTTCCCTTTTTTTTTTAATGGAGGCGCGCGCGCGGCTTGGAGTGGACGCGCGGCTTGGCTCTCGCGTGGCTTGCCTCGCGCGCGGCTTGGCTCGCGCATGGCTTGGCTCGCGCGCGGCTTGGCTGCATTTTCTTCCATATTTTTTTTTCATCCTCTTCTTCTTATTTCTTCTTTTTTTCATCTTCTTCTTTTTTCTTCATCTTTTTCTTCTGTTTTTTCATCTTCTTCTTTTTTCTTCTTCTTTCATTTTTTTCTTTCTTCTCCTTTTTTTTTTTTTTTTTTTTTTTTTTTTTTTAGGTGGTTGATGTTCACTCTTTGGGGATGTTCTATATTTTGAGTAGGGAGATTATACTCGTCTCTTGAGATGAGATGTTCACTCTTTGGGGTTGAAAGGTAAGGGTGATGCCAACCTTGGGATGGGATAGCCCCCCACTTTAGGATGAGGCGCTCGAGACCTATGGTCTGAGGTGGATGCGCACGGTTGTGCCATTGCTTCAGTGGCAACACGAGTTGAAACTTTCGCGGTCGTACACTGAAGGTCCTTATCGGTTATCTGATCCGTTAGAGGAGCAAGTAGAAGTTGATCTTGTTGAAGGTTCGACGATCATACGCTAAATGTCCTCTTCGGTTATCTGAACCGTTCGGGGGGGCGGAGGTAGGCCCCAATGGAGTGGACAACCCATGGCGAACGAAATGTTTTGGAGGCATTGTAAACCCCCAGGGAGTCGATAACCCTTGGCGAACAAAATATTTTGGGGGCAAATGTAAGCCCCCAGGGAGTCGATAACCCTTGGCGAACGAAATATTTTGGGGGCAGATGTAAGCCCCCAGGGAGTCGATAACCCTTGGCGAGCGAAATATTTTGGGGGCACTATAAACTCCCTGGGAGTCGATAACCCTTGCGTTGGAGAGCCTCTTCGGTTGTCTCAACCGATCGAGGGGCGGGAAGAAGTGGATCCTGTTGAGGATCTAGTGGGACATCACGAGGAGGATCTCGTGGTGGATCCCGAGCATGGGGAGGAGGAAGTGGTAAGCCAGAGCCTCCACGAGATGGGAGGTTGTTAACAGTGTCACACTCCCCTGAGCAGATGTCTCAAGGCCATCATGTGCGCTATGTGATTGTGTTTGCCTTCCCACAGACGGCGCCAAAATGATGATGCTAAAGATAGATCACCTTAGAGAGTTGAAGTAGGATGAGCTGGATGAGCAGAGTGGATCACTGGCTCACGAGCTTGATGACCTTGAGATACCTGCGATCATAGAACACGTGAACTAGGCCGGGGGTTGATCCGGCGGAAACCCCTCTGACGCTCAAGTCAGACGTGCTGATCATAGAAAAAAGTCCAGAGAATACATGTTGTAGTATTGCTTAGTTAATAGGACGTACCTTAAGGAATGAGCTCAAACCTTTATTTATAGCTTAGTTGAGATTGTCGGGCTCAAACCTTACTTGAAGGTGATTGGGCCTCGGTGATAGTGCTCTTCGATATTGGGCTCGTGGCCCAGTAGGTAAATAATTTGTAGGCCCATTGTGTTGAGCCACTTAGGCATATCAATTTCTATGGAAACGATACAACTCGGTATATGTATCGATTGTAATTAAATACTGGTAAATGTCGTTCGATATATGATATTGTTACGGTTAGAAAAGTTAGTGGCTTAGTTAGTGGCTTAGTTAGTTAGTTAGATTAGCGGATTAGTAGGTTAATTAGATTAAGTAGATTAGGGCACGTCTCAAAGTGGTCTTAGTTGATAGGGCACGTTCACTTTATTTGTAAGTGTTGTAAATCTGATGAATGAGAGGAAATGGAGGAGAATTATTGAACGATAATTATAATTCCTCTTATCTTCTCTCAATTCTTCTTTGTTATCTTTCTATTTCTTCTTCTTTCTTTTGGGACCATATCAGTGGTATCAGAGCCACGTTCCATGGAAACTCGAAATAAATCCAATGCCGAGTTTCGCACTGAGGTTTTCGAAATCC